AGTTTAATTCGTTTCTCCCACCCAAGTTACAGATTAGCAGCTAATTCCTATAATCGGTCACTAACCTGTAACAGTACTACAGGACATTTAAATTTAAAGATTTAGAACATCAATGCATTAATTTGCACCCGATTCTCTCACAAGAGTCCGATGACTTTGTTTCACCAATGGCTCGAAGCCATTACTTATAATAGAAAATTTACCTAAACAGACAAAATATCATCACGCGGATTACGTTATGAATATCCAGAACAGAAAGTCTCGTATTAGTATGGGTAAATAAATTCTATTTTATTTTTGAGTCACCCTGAACCGCTTACAGCTGTTCAAAATCCATGTCGAATTTGCAATTGGTTACACCTTTTTGGAATTCCAAAATGATGCACAAATTCTGAATCGACGCATGTCATTTTGAATTTTGAAATGCCGTATTCAATTCGGAATTAACATGAATTCTGAAACGACGTATACATACGTTTTGGCATTCTGAATTTCGAATGACGCACATTATTTTGGAATTATGAAACGACATAAATAAATTTTGCAAATGTAAGTGATTAATACATATATAAAGTATGCAATTGAATAAATTATACTACCACTTGCTAGGAATACGACATTATCAGATTTTTTGTTATATAAGAATTTTAGAAAGGCTAGCTTTTCTATGAATAAAATAAATAATTTCAAAAATGTTGATAAGCAAGAGCGATAGCAGTAGTTGAAATTTAACTCAAAACATAGTTAATATCGATCGATCCCATGATCACACTCTCTAATCGTAATGTTTAAACTCCAAAAATAAAAATTACGTAAGAATGGTAAAGAAAAAAGAATTAGAAAATGATTTGACAAACAAGCTTATACTTATCCCGTTTTGACTTTCACTTTAAAAGATAATAACAAATTAAAATTTTTATTATTGTTAAATCAATTCAAGAAAGTATAAAGTATATAAAATTAGTTACCATTTCTTTTTGTAAAAATTTGTCCAAATCGTATCTAATCGAGTATATTTTTTTCTAGTGCTTCATCACAATTCTTATTTATTGGAAGTGTTTCATCATGAATTTGTAAGTTTGCTTGCAAGACACTCGATATATCTTCATTGTCTTGGATTTCAGATGGTGTACTGAAATTGAAATCATTTGAGGTATACAAACAGACACTTGTATTGCCTAAATATGCAAATTCACAATTAATATGAAATCTCAATATGATTTATTTAAGAACAAAAAATACCTGTGACATTTGAAATTGAAATTGATCTTAAAGATTCGACTGGTGTAAACTGCATTTGGGTGGTTTTTTGTTTTTTGGTCTCATTTGTATGCAATTTCATCTCTTTATCAAATCTCTGCCTTTTTGACTTAATATACTGTTTAACTTTTATATATCTTAAAAGACTGTATTGAAAATCCCAAATATCCAGTGTCCCCTTTTTAAGTTTATTATCTTTTAAGGAGTTATAGCAAAGTATTCAGTCTCCACTTTTTGTCGTCTGCTGGAGAATAATAGGGCGGATAAAGTCTCTAAGTTTCTCGGCTGTTGGTCTGTTTTTTGAATAGGATCCCAACATTTCTCAATAATAAATTTGCACCATCTGGGAACACTATTTGGTATCGTAGGTCGTACTCCGTTATGGATGTCTAATACGAGAACACTATCATGGCTTCGTTCACCAAATGGTTGCTCACCTGTTACAATCTCATACATAATCATCCTAAAGCTATAAATATCTGCAGCTTGAGTGTATGGCTTTCCACTTAGCACTTCTGAACTAATATAAGGAAGAACTCCACAAATTTTTTGATTAGACTTTTTTATATCTGCTGGGCTGGTAAGTCCAAAATCAGCAATTTGAGGAATATTATGTATTAATATATTTCCAGGATGAAAGTCACGATGCACAAATCCCTCTGTGTGAATTTTATCGATTATGAAATATAAAAGACGTGATTTGACTCTCCAAGTTAATTTTTCGTAGTTAGAACTGATATATTTGCGAAATCTTCTGCGTAAGTCATTACAATAATTTGTAGCTGGGTTTTTAGTTATCCCATAATAACTTAACTTTAAATTAATAGTGCACTTTAGAGAAGTCTGAACCTATTTTGGAAAACTTAATTGTATTAAAAATATTAATCTTGATTACACATTAGAATAGCTCGTTTTTACCTCGTTTATAAACTCCAATGTAATTTGCTTTGAATCACGTAATGATTTCAACACAACTTTGAGTTCTGAAAATTTAAAATTATGTGCTTTACGATCCCACTTCATGGGTTCGTATGACCAGGATGCTTTATAAATTGTTCCAAACCTCCTTTTGCAAAATATTCAAAATTGGTAAATCTTTCAAAAGGGATCCATTCGAATTCATTATTAATTTTCATGCATTTATTTATTAGACTGTCGATATCTTTATTTCCGCCAGACCATCCAGAATTATAAATTCGTTTGTGATAATGAAACATTCCCAGCAGTCCCGATATACTTGACAAAAGGCACAGTTCATGCATGAACAACAAACATGAGTATTCGAAATTTTAGATTCCATCTTTAATGATTACTGAAAACTTTTAAATGATGATTTACGTATACGTATAACCTTCGTAATGTACTTTCTTTTAATGTTACCGTTACCGTTACGATTAACACAAATCCAATAATCAAACATTTAATTGACCATTTGTTTGTTGTTACTTGCTAACCGTTACACATACATAATGAGATAAATTAATATAACGACAATGCTGTATAGCACTACGCTTCCCTGTAGAAAATTTAAACTTTAATTTAGTCCGATTTTTTAGTAAGTAAAACCAATTGTTTTTCTGCACAATTAAGAATCACGGTGTAGTTACTTATTACTAAAAGAATGGCTTTGATGTGGCAAACTTTTTAAAGGGCTACTGTATGTAACGCCATAAGGTAATTTCATTCGATAATATATGCAACATGATATTAAATTTTTACTAAGACTACGCCAATAAATTTTTGTATAAGCTTTGTGATTAAAGATTCCTTGACTAACAATTTAACTTTTTTAATTTTTTTATATTAAAAATTTATAAATGGTACCTTATATTTTAATAATTTGTTTAAAGAAAAGCATTATTGAGTAAATAATTTTAAATCAAGTTTATAAATGATCACTTAAATTAGTAAATAAAAATTAAGACCGAAAGTTGGTTGTAAATTCGAAATTTCTATCTTAAATACCCAGGTGAATACACATTTCAAGTTAAATATTAAAAATATTCGAAGTTTATCTTAAAAAAGACAATCCGAGACCTGAATCTAAGTGTTTTCGTTGCTAGAAATAAAATACATGTACTATTTATTGTAATTATATAACTCAAAAATAAAGTACAATTTATTTACCCATACGGTACGTCCTTGTTTGAGGTTATCTGTTCTGAATATTCATAATGCAATTACCATGATAATTTTTACCATGATAATTTTTATAAGTATAGAAAGGCTATGTAATTGAAAAGTACACGTGAAAGTGCAAATATCAAGTGTCCGCATGATTTCACTTTACATAACGATAATAAAAAATGTAATAATTTGCACTGATCTCTGCTGTAAATATCTAGATTTTTTGTCAGCGGTGACATCTATTCCGTTATTATGACCACAAAATGATTATGCCTTTTAGGCAAATGCTAGAGAAAAATTATTTATAACATATTGCTATATGTCCATAATTCAAAAAATCATAACTTTCTTATATTTTATTAACAAGAGTAAGCGTGATTATTATTCAAATATTTGATTTTTTATATACAATACTAAATTTCGCTGATGCTCCAAACGACGAGCCACACTTGGAATTTTTTAAATTCACCTATTTATATGCATGCTGTTTATTAATATAAAGAACCAGTATCGTCCTCATTTATTGCATCGTCTTCATTTGTTACTTTATATGCATGCTTTTTATTAATATGAAGAACCAGTATCGTCCTCATTTAATGCATCATCTTCATTTATTACATAGCCTTCTTCACATCTATGGGAATTTTGTTGTAAACCTTGACATTTGTCAATCGTCTTTTCAAAAATAGCGAAAAATGGTACAGAAAAGTTGTCGCAGACAACAAAGAGATAGAAACATAAGGAATGCTCGAAATTATTAGGGTAATTGGCCCGTAAAAAAAGTTTAAAGGTATTTGATGCTGTCTTAACAACCACTAAAAAGCCGAGACATGCAGTGTGAGCTCTCACCTAATTTTTAAAAGAAACAAAAAAGCAGTTAAAAAAAGTCAGAAAACAGAAAGTTTGATTACATTAAGCTGAAACCATAAACTTACGCGATTGATGCTATAAATTTTTAATTTTTCTCCACTAGTGCCAGTTTGTATCTCTTTCTTAGTTTTGTGAAAAGAAAATAAAAGAAATAAAAGTTCAACACAATTCCAAAACAATATTATTCCTATGTTTATAAATGTCATTGTTTCTAGGGCGATGCTATCGCTAAGAATCAAGTGCTTTTGGTGATTCAATGATGAATGGAAGTTGCCATGAATACAAGCAACTGGAAGGATAGTCATTATTGGTGCAAGAATGTATATTTGATATAAATTCTCAAACATTGTTGGTTCGTAGGAATAATTAATGCCGTACGGTTTAAATCGTGTATTGTATTCTAATGATTTTCAGTTATATTAATTTTTCAAAAGAAATGCGAATTTCAATTTTATTTTTTTATACCTAATTGTTGTGCGAGGAAATTCAGTTTCGCACTTTCAAGTAAAGATATTGTTGTTGAAAAAGTGTATTGAATTTGCGAGAAAACTTCAATAATTGGATAAAAAGTAATTAAAAATATTGAAAAATATTTAAAAAGTTAGACAACCGTAAATTTCCTACCTAAGAATGTTGACTCATCCAAATACGCATGGTTTAAAATCAAAAACGAATGTATGAAATTTGCTAAAACGACCGAATTACAAATACAAATAAGAATCCGTATGAAAAAACGTCAAAATTTAATATCTACATTCGTTATTACTTACAAAAATAAAACCCCAGGATGCTCATAAAGTATATTCGAAAATATATAAATTTATCTTTTAGGGAAGATGTGCGATTTTTCCACGCACAATAAATATACAAGTATATTAAGAAAAATGTTATAGAAACGAAACATGACATTAGAGTCACATTTGTGAGAATAGATTCGGAGCACTGAATAAAAAAATTGTGGCAAAATTTTAGGGGAATTAAACTTGGTGTCATTTATTTGTTTGGTTTATTTCTTTTATTAATTTTTTAAAGGAAAACGAAGAAAAAATTACATCGAAAGTAGTGTGTGAATATTTATAGTTATAATTTTTTCCTATTTTACAGTTCTTTAGGTTAAGTTCGTATACTAAGCGAACAAATTAAAATTTAGCAATAATACTATATTCACAATGATAAAAAAATAAAAATGTCATAATAAACTGTATAGCATTATCAAGAGAAAATGACGTGTATGTACTTGTTTTCTTTCAGTTACTCATGTTTTATTAGGAATATTCTGATTGGGTATAAAATGTAAGAACTTGTTTGTAAGTTATTTTATTTGAACAAAAAGATTTGGAAATCTTGTTAAAAATCTATGATAAACACATTTTACAAATGTACTAATTCTTCACACTAAATGAATTCGCCATTTAGTTTTTGCATTAGAAATAATAAATCTCAACTTTGTACTGTATTCTAATTAAATAATAATGCATTTTATCCAAAAATAAGAGCTTTGGTTAAAGAATTTTATTATGGGGAGGGAGCGATCTCACTTCAGTCAGGTTCTTTTATAATTCTAAACATTAATGATTCTTATTTACCAGTCAGGTAGATAAAGGCTGTAATAAATTGAAAACACCTGATTTCTGCCCATTCCTAACTTATATAAATAAAAGGTCGACTTACTATTATTGTTATAAATGAACTGTATTGTCATTTTAAAGATTTTCATCGAGTTTACTAAATTTATATACTTATATGTAAAATAGGTTTTATAAATTAATAGATTTATTGTTTCACAGGTAATATGAGATAGCTTTAAGAAATAGGAGTTTTGTTTCAAACCAATACATGTACATGCATAAGGTTTCGGTTCAATTTAGCTTTTATAAGAGTAAAAAATATTAGTTTTTATTGTGATCTAAATCCAGATAGAAAACTATCTTTCAAGATAAAACGAAAGTGTAAGGCATTTGTATCAAATAATCTGATAATGCATGTTACTTTTAAAAATCTATTTTAAAGAAAAGATTATTAAGGTAGAAATTTAGCTTGAAATAACTGAAAGAATTCATATTAAACAATTTCTTTATCAACTGCAAGTAAACTAAATTCATATGAAAATTCACTGCATTGATTCTTGATATGTATAGAGAAAATGATTCTGACTGATCAATTTGTACAGCTTTGCGACAATTCAACAGACAACGAATCTGATTTGATGTATTTTTTGTTATTTTTAAATTAGATCTTCAATATTTTTCTTTTGTAATAACGATGTCGAGATACGTAGTACATAAGTTAAATCATTAGAATAATACCATTTTTTTATCAACAGGAAGTCAATTTGCGGAAGTATTTTCCTTGAATGTGATCTGATCTATATATATGCTTTTCATCAATGCACCATTTAAAAATGGGGGGATATAAATAATTAAATGTTAGTACATGAAAAACTCGTATGAACAGTGAGACCTCTCTAAATGCACCCTCGGTCCTAAGGGTGAGGACATGTACATATACGTATTAGATTCGATAAAGAAGATACCAATTAAATTTGATCTGCACATTAATATACATTGTGCATGTACATGTATAACGATAACTAAATACATGTATAGGAATATATAATAAAATAATATCGATATATGTACGTACACGTATTACGTAATTTCTCTAACGCTAACCTGTAACAAATACATGTACTTCCAAGGAATTATTTCCGAATGGTCGTTCACCTCATAATCATCTCAAACCTATAAATACCTGCAGCTTTAGTGTATAGCTTTCTATTTAGTACCTCTGGAAAATAATATTCCTAGATGTAAATGTGCAAAAGTATCGAAATGCCGACTTCAATTTCAATTGTAGTATTAGAAAATATATCGATCGACATATTTTTATCGTTATTGTTTCAATTATCATACTTTCGGAGTTACGCCAAAGAATAGAATATCGAGTAACTTTAAACACTATGAGAATAAAAATAAATCAGTCGCAAAAGAAACCATTATTATACATATAAATTTAAAAACTTACGTAATTCAGTTCAAATATATTTTTGGAAAATTAGATCCGATCACTAGTCCCTATTTGGGTTTCACAGCAAAAAGGGGCTTAGAGCATCACAGCCAAAATTGAGATTAGATTCTTGGATATTCGTGGCGTATTTGTCCAAGCCATTTTTAATATATTTTATCATAATAATATTTTGAGTAACGGTAGTTTTTTATTAACGTTCAATATTTGGAGCGAAACATAGTTCATCTTTATAAGGATCGTGTATCTATTGACGAATATCCTTAAATAATTGTAGTTGACTTTTTAAAATTAAAGATTTTATAGGAATTATATCAAAAGATTGGTATGGATCAAAATTAATATTATTGCAAACTATAGATTCTGTTTTTATACCATTAGATTCTAAAGACATAAAAACTTTTCCAGGTTGATCAAAATAAAAGTGCCGAAATGTTCGTATACCACTGTATTTAACAAAGTAAGGTTCAAGAAAGCTTCAAAATTATAATAATTCCATACTACCGTAAAGCGCTCTGTATTGTATCTCACTTTGTATAAAATTTAAATCTCAATTTAACCTCAAGGCTGTTAAACCAGTAACTAAATTTTTTAAAAAATCGCATAGTGAAATCTAATTTAATTATTTACAGAAAAAATAATTGAATTTACTAAAAAAAAAATTAAAGTAAATTGTGGTTCAAATTTTAAAGGAGGGATACTATACAGAGCGCTTTACGGTAATTGATTTTCATCATCATACGTATTATGCTCATTAATTTGAAAAAACATGGCGTTTCAGCTTAACCCTAACCCTCAAAAGATCACGAAATAGGTAATATCGATATTAATGGTTATGAACCAATTAACGTATTCTCTCATAGAAAACATCTAGAAACCATTGTAGAACAGAACGTATTTATTCTAAAGCGTAAAAACTTTCAAAAACTGTGAACAAGCTCAAGACTGCATTCTCTGAAGGAAGTGTAGTCAAAATTTAATGTGTTAGTTTTGCCGTAAGGAATCGACGTGATATTGAATTCATATAGAGGATGGGTAATATCAATTACATGTACGTACATGTAATTGATGGCGACTGTACATGTATAAATTATGAATTCATGTTTAATTCACGTTTTACTCGTCTTCATTTGATGCACGTTGTGGACGTACGTCGTGTGTATCATTTCATATAAATCGTTTTTGAACGAAGGCTTCCACACGACATATACATCTTCGTTTTGGACATAAATGACTGCCATCATTATTATTCAACTCGAAGATGTCATCTATTACTCATGAATGTAGTAAATGTGATGATTGTCAGCATTATCGCTACAACTACTGCAAAGCGTGTTCAGTTCACAATATTCATGATTGTAGTAATAACTGTTACGATTGTAAAGAATACAAGTATTGCGTTGAGTGTTCAGTTCACAATACACATGATTGTAGTAAATGTACTAAATGTCAAGAAAATAAGTGGTGTGAAGGATGTTTTCGATATCACAAACGAAATTATGTTGAATGGTCTAGTGGAAATATATCGTCAGTCTAATAAATGAATGTAATAACATTAATAGAGTATTTGAATGGATCCCTTTTGAAAGATTTACCAATGTTAAATATCTTGCAAAAGGAGGTTTTGGATCAATTTATAAAGCATCCTGGTTGGACGGAAGATTATATGGCGATTGGGATCATGTAGAGAATAAATTTAAACGAAGGGGAGAATGTGATGTTGTGTTGAAATCATTACACAATTCAAAGCAAATTACATCCGAGTTTATAAACGAGGTAAAATGAACACCTTCAAGTGTAAGCATGTTAGCTTTTTTGATTTTCAATCTAATTAGCTTTTTCAGTATTAGATTCAGGCTGCTCTAAAGCTTTCTTAGTTATTATGGAATAACTAAAAACCCAGCTACAAGTGAATACTCGATAGTGATGGTTATGAATTCCAACCACCAAAAATTGAATTGGCTACAAAAATTAGGATATTTAATGAGTATTACTTCAGGGTTGGATAAAATTCATCGAGAGAAATTTCTGCATCCATCGTGACTTCCACCCTGGAAATATATTAATAAGGAATAATCCTTGCATTGCTGATTTTGGACTTACCAGCCCAGCAGATATAGAAAAATCTGATCAAAAAATTTGCGGAGTACTTCCTTATACGAGTCCAGAGGTACTAAATGGAAAAACATACACTAAAGTTGCAGATATTTATAGCTTTGGGATGATTACGTACGAGATTTTCACCATTTGGTGAGCAGAGTCATGATGTAGATCTCGTATT